ACTAACTAACTAACTAACTAACTAACTAACTAACTAACTAACTAACTAACTAACTAACTAACTAACTAACTAACTAACTAACTAACTAACCAACTAACTAACTAACTAACTAACTAACTAACTAACTAACTAACTAACTAACTAACTAACTAACTAACTAACTAACTAACTAACTAACTAACTAACTAACTAACTAACTAACTAACTAACTAACTAACTAACTAACTAACTAACTAACTAACTAACTAACTAACTAACTAACTAACTAACTAACTAACTAACTAACTAACTAACTAACTGACTAACTAACTAACTAACTAACTAACTAACTAACTAACTAACTAACTAACTAACTAACTAACTAACTAACTAACTAACTAACTAACTAACTAACTAACTAACTAACTAACTGACTAACTAACTAACTAACTAACTAACTAACTAACTAACTAACTAACTAACTAACTAAATAACTAACTAACTAACTAACTAACTAACTAACTAACTAACTAACTAACTAACTAACTAACTAACTAACTAACTAACTAACTAACTAACTAACTAACTAACTAACTAACTAACTAACTAACTAACTAACTAACTAACTAACTAACTAACTAACTAACTAACTAACTAACTAACTAACTAACTAACTAACTAACTAACTAACTAACTAACTAACTAACTAACTAACTAACTAACTAACTAACTAACTAACTAACTAACTAACTAACTAACTAACTAACTAACTAACTAACTAACTAACTAACTAACTAACTAACTAACTAACTAACTAACTAACTAACTAACTAACTAACTAACTAACTAACTAACTAACTAACTAACTAACTAACTAACTAACTAACTAACTAACTAACTGACTAACTAACTAACTAACTAACTAACTAACTAACTAACTAACTAACTAACTAACTAACTAACTAACTAACTAACTAACTAACTAACTAACTAACTAACTAACTAACTAACTAACTAACTAACTAACTAACTAACTAACTAACTAACTAACTAACTAACTAACTAACTAACTAACTAACTAACTAACTAACTAACTAACTAACTAACTAACTAACTAACTAACTAACTAACTAACTAACTAACTAACTAACTAACTAACTAACTAACTAACTAACTAACTAACTAACTAACTAACTAACTAACTAACTAACTAACTAACTAACTAACTAACTAACTAACTAACTAACTAACTAACTAACTAACTAACTAACTAACTAACTAACTAACTAACTAACTAACTAACTAACTAACTAACTAACTAACTAACTAACTAACTAACTAACTAACTAACTAACTAACTAACTACTAACTAACTAACTAACTAACTAACTAACTAACTAACTAACTAACTAACTAACTAACTAACTAACTAACTAACTAACTAACTAACTAACTAACTAACTAACTAACTAACTAACTAACTAACTAACTAACTAACTAACTAACTAACTAACTAACTAACTAACTAACTAACTAACTAACTAACTAACTAACTAACTAACTAACTAACTAACTAACTAACTAACTAACTAACTAACTAACTAACTAACTAACTAACTAACTAACTAACTAACTAACTAACTAACTAACTAACTAACTAACTAACTAACTAACTAACTAACTAACTAACTAACTAACTAACTAACTAACTAACTAACTAACTAACTAACTAACTAACTAACTAACTAACTAACTAACTAACTAACTAACTAACTAACTAACTAACTAACTAACTAACTAACTAACTAACTAACTAACTAACTAACTAACTAACTAACTAACTAACTAACTAACTAACTAACTAACTAACTAACTAACTAACTAACTAACTAACTAACTAACTAACTAACTAACTAACTAACTAACTAACTAACCAACTAACTAACTAACTAACTAACTAACTAACTAACTAACTAACCAACTAACTAACTAACTAACTAACTAACTAACTAACTAACTAACTAACTAACTAACCAGCTAACTAACTAACTAACTAACTAACTAACTAACTAACTAACCAACTAACTAACTAACTAACTAACTAACTAACTAACTAACTAATCAGCTAACTAACTAACTAACTAACTAACTAACTAACTAACTAACTAACTAACTAACTAACTAACTAACTAACTAACTAACTAACTAACTAACTAACTAACTAACTAACTAACTAACTAACTAACTAACTAACTAACTAACTAACTAACTAACTAACTAACTAACTAACTAACTAACTAACTAACTAACCAACTAACTAACTAACTAACTAACCAACTAACTAACTAACTAACTAACTAACTAACTAACTAACCAACTAACTAACTAACTGACCAACTAACTAACTAACTAACTAACTAACTAACTAACTAACTAACTAACTAACTAACTAACTAACTAACTAACTAACTAACTAACTAACTAACTGCACATCTAAGTAACTTGCTGGAAGGATTACTATCTTACTCACTCACTGAATAAATAACTCCCTAAGTTACTGAAAGTCGAAATCACTTAGTAACCAAATAACTCGATAACTATCTAATTAAACGAATATGTAGCTGACCAACTAACTAACGAAGTAAATAATAAACAAATTAAGTATCTAATTTAATAAATCAATAAGTGACTGATTAACTAGCTGAATATGTAACTAACTGACTAGCCAAATAACTAAGTGACTGACTCACTGACTAACCGACCAACTTACTTACATACTGAGGAACTCACCAACCAACTAAATAACTAACCAGAAGTTTATGTAACTAACTTACTGTCGAGTCAACTACTAACTAACTGATTCAATTACTCAATTTCTACATTCTCAAATTTGAACTCAGATCAATAATTATCCATGTGCATTGAAATGAGTGATGTAGTGTCGTGACGTTTAATAGGTAATTGGTGTTCACGTAGATTGAAGCGAAGACGGTGATCACTTTGTCTAATGTAGTGTTGACTACAGTCATTGCAGCTGATTTTTTGAATGGTGTTCGCTTTGTCTACTTTGGTTGTTGCATCCCCAGGTGTGCATAATATAGTTTTGAGGGAATTTGTTGGTTTATGAGCCACATCAATTCCATGTGGTCTCAGCAATCTGGTCGTGATTCCTGATATATTTTTATGTACGGTGGGATGATGCGTTTGATGATGTCTGTCGGTGACTTTACAGTTGATAATATACGGGATAGGCATCTTCTGATAAAGTTTCGTGGGTAGACAGATTACTCTCAAATAGTTATCTAACTAACTAGGTAACCATGTAACCGGATGACTAACGATTCAATGTCTGCTTTAGCTTCTACAATGAAAAAATTGAATGGATTACCATCAAATGTTATCCAAAACATTTGATTCAACACAAACACACTTGCATAACAAACATCTATGTCACACCTGGTTACAGTCTGTCAGATTTGTCAACTCTTGCTGACGAAGTCAGTCGATGAATTCACTGCTCCAATTCTTGGTAACTCTTTGTTCATATTCTGTGGAGATTTTAAACCATATGGCTTCAGTTTCCTCACATCAACGAATCATGGAAATGTGGTTAGCTTTTCTACTCTTCTTCACATAACATTAGACTTGATGTTTACAAATGTCGATAGTAAGCATATATGTGTTTAGTTACTTAGTGATTTATTCAGTTTTTCAGTTATATACTTATTTATCTATCTAGATTGTGAATCAAATAATTAGTTGGTTAGCTACTCATTTATTTATTTAGTTGGTAGCCAGATAGCTAACTATTTAATTTGTCATACAGTAATCTAATCAATTTATTTTCAGTCATTTAGTTCATATGTTGAATAGTTAGAAATTAGTTTTAGCAAACAGATAAATAAATAATGTATTTTTGAGGTGAGTGGGGATTTTTTAATTTAGAAGTAGTACTTTTCATGGACTGACATTAGTTGGGGAACCATTGGAAATCTGGGAGCACTGGACAGCTATCTCGCCCTAGTGTGAGACTCCTCAGCAGTACGTAGCCGCGTAGGGATCGTACTCAGGACCTTCAGGTTTCACGGCGAAGGCGTTAACCATTCATCCACTCGGTCGGTTCCCAGTGCTTCACAATTTTCAGCTTCTGTCAATTCACGACATAGCGTGACTATCACCCAACGTGCTAATGATACTTATATAACAACTACTGCTGCATATAACCGTGCTAATGCACTAACTGCTATTTTTAGTGCGATTACTGTTTGTACTTATACTATCAATACTACCACTTCTAACTGTGCTGCTGTCAAATCGACTACTATTAGTATTACTGCTACTACTACTACTACTACTACCACTACTACTACTACTACTACTACTACTACTACAGCAACTACTATTATTATCACTATTACTACTCTCACTGTATGATACACACGAATAATTTGTTCACTAAGCCGATACCATTATGTTACATGAAATCCAATTCATTTCACTAGTCGGTTGCGGGAATTGTCAAAGGAATGCGAACTTTCGGAAGGCTCACACAATTTCAAACTTTAACAGGATGAAATCATGTTTATTAATGGATCACTGTATCACTGAATAGAGTTGTATCATTCTCAAGTAAACTCGTTGGGAAGTGTGAAGTTCAGTTGACGAAGACATAGGTGATTGTATTCAGCATCTCAGGCTTGACGACGCCTGGTTGATAAGAAGGATTTTTCACAATCTATGGGCCACGAGATTGACCTGAAACCCTAATCATCACGTTATTTCCCATTCGGATAACGAGTGAGGTTTTGAACATGTTTGTCCAATATATTACTACCCATCTATAAAATAAGTGGGGTTATCTGACAGACAATGAATCGTAAGCTTCTCATTTTGACCAAGCTTGTGAGCAGGCAATGTGGTTGAATTTATGAGGGTGAAAAGTCACTGTGGAGCATAGATGAAATTCACCTCGCCCACACATCCCAATTCCATCAAAGCAGCTGAGACAACAAGTCAGTCTGTGAAACACGAAATCTTTTATCAATCAGTGAAAAGTTGAAGAAACATTACAGTAAGTTTACGTCACGAAAGTCAAATTGATTTACAAAAGCTGTTCAATTTCTGCATGGTGAAATATGGAGCAATACTCCAAAAGTATGTCACAGGCAATTATATGGATGACACACAGATGAATTGCACCGACTACCAAAACTGTTCAACAGCTTTCGATGGCTCCAAAATCGCACGACTGGCTACGTTGAGCGCTCCATCATCACTTCTTTGAAATTGGTATAAATGAATAAGTTGAAATGGAAGTCTTTCGAGCGCAAGTGCTAGAAATACATCATGGAATCGGATATTTGGTGTGAATGACATCACAATAGACACGTTATGTAATACATCAGCTCCTAAAATATAACTGTCATCTCGAAATCTGTTATAGTAGTTATCCCATGGATATTCATGTGATGAAATAGCCCTAACGCGATCTTCCCGCCCAACTGGCTCCTTGACAATTAAATTACCGCCTGCAGATGACAGAGGATTGGGTCGCTTCATTATTCTTCTCACCATTTCCATTGTATTGTTTGGATGAAGTGTGTAGCCATCCTTGAGGAACAAATATAGCGATGATTTATCTCCACAAAATGCAGATGCCCAACGAATTCCCAACATCGTCTTCGCAGTTGAATTGAAGATGTTATCATGGAAACTACCAATCAGCAGATCACCATGATGCACAATCTCGTTTCTCAACCTCTCGATCGTGGGCACACGAAATGATTCCGTTTCACTGGATAAGTCGTATGGTCCATCGTCTAAATTCACTGACACTCCATGCATATTGTAAGTATTCATCTGATTCGGTTTTGGCAATCCAACGACAAATACAAATTGGATTTTAAAGTTGTTCCACTGTTCACTTCTCATGTAGGTTTCACGAGAATACTGTCGTTTTTCAAAGCAGTACACACACGAATGGACAACAACGACCAAATCCACCTTCTCTTCGCTCAGATTTGGATGGCATGCGGACTGGGGCAGCTGCACAGCCAATAAAGCATCATTGTTTTGTGGCACCTGAAAATAGTGAACACAAATGTTGTCAATATTATTGTGCAAGGTATATACCGAAGTGATTCGTGAATAAAAGCTCAGCATGCACTGCAACCTCTCACTACCAGTAAAGTACAATTATCTCACAAGTTGTAGTTTACGTAGTTTGTGCTTCTTTTAGCTACTGATTGCCAGTTGACCAGTTGTTGATAGAAAGAGTATTGTGAATAGCCCTTCCACATGGTCATGACATTCACAAGCAACACTGAACAATATGCGATATCTGAGTGTGATGTCAAAAGGACATATGGTGTCTTGGTCAAGATGTCCAGATGTCGTATCGCTCATTTGACAGCTGGAACATGACCATATGAATTACAACAACCCTGAATTACCTACACTGTTCCAGTGAGTTGGCCCCAGGATGCAATTCCCACTTGTGTGCACTGTTCTACTCGTCGATTTCGTTCAGTATGCCGTTCAGCACTGAAGACCAACAGCATACTGTTGGAAATGATGTTTCTGCCAAATACACTTGAGGAAATAACTCGGAACATGGAAATATAATGTAATTATGTAAAGCATGAAAAATTTTGTTCAACAAGCTACTCGTGTGAATGAGCTTGAATGTTGATCAACAGAGTATGAGATACTGTTTGAAAGATACAGTATACAAGGTGAATGGAGACTACAGTCGGGTATTCAGGTTGAATGCCATTTCGTTGTGTGAATCAGCCTGTCTACTGCTTGTAAGCGTGTGTAGTTCGGATGTGAATTGAAGTATGCCTAACATCCGAGCAATCTGGTTCCTTTGATCTCTCTCCCATCCATGATGCACGACGGCATTCTATTTGGAGAAGAATGCATACAGTTTGTGTAATGCGCGGCCACTTACTCTAAACCGACCCGCTGAACTTGTGATAATTTTTCTCTTGTTGAGTATGTTCAATGGAAGTGAATGCTTGTGTGTATGTGTGTGCTGTTATGAAACAGTTCACTACCGGTTAGAAAAGTATTTTCGACATCAAAGCATAGTGAAAGAATCACAACTGTAAGTTAACGTAACATACCTCATTCTCAGGGAAACCAGATGACATCGCATTCGTAAATACAGACATATTGAATGGCACGACACTAGGTTTCTCTGAACTAGAACCTACTAGTTTTAATTCTCGATTCAGCCCAAGGGTGCTGCTTTCATTTATGTTACTCACATTGTACTGCATTCTGAAGTCACAGACTTCAATCGTTTCATTCATCCAGGGAATAGATATGACAGAAATTGGGAGTGGTCCATTTAACACTGTGATCGCACTGAGTAATGTGAAGCGTTCAGGTTGTCAGTATGCATTGAATAAGCGAAAGCGATCCAAGCAGCATCTGAAAGTGTTCGTTCATCGTAGGTGACAGTTTTTATTTGTCCTGCGGTGCGAGTTCCACCCTTGACAAGAAAGTATACACCGACACTGGCTAGCACCACAACAGAGACTATGCCCATTACAATTGCCACCTTATAGGCAGTCGCATAGCGTTTATTGGCGAATATATTCATTTCCACCCGAAACTTTCACGCAAAGTCACTTCCAAGTTGGTCTGATATGAAACAAACTATGAAAAGCACTGAGAGGTAAAACTTTCAGCGATCCGTAGAGTTGATAGCCACTTTCAAGCACAACAACTCATTTATATACCAACCGGGTATCTGTTTTCTTTAAAATATTTACGTGTTGAAGTTCATTTCTAAAAATACTCAAGAAAGCTTTGTTCCACGTATTGTCTGCATTCTTCTCTTTCACTATATTAACATAATCAGAGAATAGTTGACCTGATAAACAAGATATATTTCACTATTTTCTCGTTTCTTCTTTACATAAAAATATTTCAGGAATCACGACCAGATTGCTGAGACCACATGGAATTGATGTGGCTCATAAACCAACAAATTCCCTCAAACTATATTATGCACACCTGGGGATGCAACAACCAAAGTAGACAAAGCGAACACCATTCATAAAATCAGCTGCAATGACTGTAGTCAACACTACATTAGACAAAGTGATCACCGTCTTCGCTTCAATCTACGTGAACACCAATTACCTATTAAACGTCACGACACTACATCACTCATTTCAATGCACATCGATAATTATTGATCTGAGTTCAAATTTGAGAATGTAGAAATTGAGTAATTGAATCAGTTAGTTAGTAGTTGACTCGACAGTAAGTTAGTTACATAAACTTCTGGTTAGTTATTTAGTTGGTTGGTGAGTTCCTCAGTATGTAAGTAAGTTGGTCGGTTAGTCAGTGAGTCAGTCACTTAGTTATTTGGCTAGTCAGTTAGTTACATATTCAGCTAGTTAATCAGTCACTTATTGATTTATTAAATTAGATACTTAATTTGTTTATTATTTACTTCGTTAGTTAGTTGGTCAGCTACATATTCGTTTAATTAGATAGTTATCGAGTTATTTGGTTACTTAGTGATTTCGACTTTCAGTAACTTAGGGAGTTATTTATTCAGTGAGTGAGTAAGATAGTAATCCTTCCAGCAAGTTACTTAGTTATGCAGTTAGTTAGTTGGTTAGTTAGTTAGTTGGTTAGTTAGCTAGTTAGTTAGTTAGTTAGTTAGTTAGTAACTAACTAACTGACTAACTAACTAACTAACTAACTAACTAACTAACTAACTAACTAACTAACTAACTAACTAACTAACTAACTAACTAACTAACTAACTAACTAACTAACTAACTAACTAACTAACTAACTAACTAACTAACTAACTAACTAACTAACTAACTAACTAACTAACTAACTAACTAACTAACTAACTAACTAACTAACTAACTAACTAACTAACTAACTGACTAACTAACTAACTAACTAACTAACTAACTAACGATTACTCAATAATTAACTTGCGTGGTTGTGTGTATCCGGGGGAAGTGTAAAAGAATTTTTGACTAACGTGCGGTGCTTTTTGACGAAGACTGCAGATAATAATAGAAATGAGATTGAGAGCATGGTGGCTTGTGATTGTAGAAGTAAATAGGAGAACAAAGTGTGTTTTCATAGCAATCAAACACAATGTACCTGAGATTTGACACACTTTCTTCGTTGCATGTAAAGAGGCTCAGGAGAGAAAGGGGAAGTTCGTATAAGGTGAGACATCACCCTAGCATAAAAAGACGTAACCGCTTAATTTACACTGTGTAAATACTATAGACGACCAGAAGTTTCTATCATGTAAGAACTCTTCCAATATACGGAAATTACACAAAGAGCTTACTGGTAGAAGAGCGATAACAAAAGAGGCTTGTTCCAATGTCTGTGTGGTAAGCCGGTCATTTATACGTCGACAAGTTGACTTCATCCTTCCTCGTGTTCCTTCTTCTAACACAAATGACGTGCTTCAATGTCTGAATTTTTGAATCGATCACGAAGACCACATCTTGTTGGGCCGAATTGCTGGACCTCTGCGCATCATCTGCTACCGGGGGTCGAGTAACTCACCTCTTTACAGTGTTGGGAGATTGCATGTACCATAAGCATAACAACGTTTAAAACTGCTTTAATTGGACACTTCTAAGATGAACAATTCTCTGTGAAAACTATGAAGCTGAGATCGGTAGAAACACTGCAGATCGAATGGCTGTTTCAATGCGTTAACCGTCCTGAGGGAAGCAGCCATTAGGCTGACACTGCTCTTCGATCCACATTGCCGACGAAACATCATTCTTCTGCTTGTAATATGATAACCACAATGTCTTTTCGGGTGCGCGCTCATTGCTTTCAGGTAGGAAATACTCCTTTCAAATGAATGCTGGTGAGCGCAAGATCTTGGTTCTTGGCTTTCTGTCGAATGCATCCAATCAACCATCAGACGGAGTAATTCATGATTATTAAATTCTTTCAAATATCAAGGCTGTCGGTGGCTAGTTAGACTCTTTCCAATAACATATAAATCTCTCCCAGAAATATTCTAAGTCTCGGCTTTGCTAATTTCTTTCTTTTTCCTCTTCAACCTACACACTCTCAGCACACACATCCTCTGTGTCTGTGTGTGAATGTGTGTGTGTGCAGTAACTACACCGCCTCTTCAAATATATCATACAATGTAAAGAAGAAACGAGAAAATAGTGAAATATATCTTGTTTATCAGGTCAACTATTCTCTGATTATGTTAATATAGTGAAAGAGAAGAATGCAGACAATACGTGGAACAAAGCTTTCTTGAGTATTTTTAGAAATGAACTTCAACACGTAAATATTTTAAAGAAAACAGATACCCGGTTGGTATATAAATGAGTTGTTGTGCTTGAAAGTGGCTATCAACTCTACGGATCGCTGAAAGTTTTACCTCTCAGTGCTTTTCATAGTTTGTTTCATATCAGACCAACTTGGAAGTGACTTTGCGTGAAAGTTTCGGGTGGAAATGAATATATTCGCCAATAAACGCTATGCGACTGCCTATAAGGTGGCAATTGTAATGGGCATAGTCTCTGTTGTGGTGCTAGCCAGTGTCGGTGTATACTTTCTTGTCAAGGGTGGAACTCGCACCGCAGGACAAATAAAAACTGTCACCTACGATGAACGAACACTTTCAGATGCTGCTTGGATCGCTTTCGCTTATTCAATGCATACTGACAACCTGAACGCTTCACATTACTCAGTGCGATCACAGTCGTTAAATGGACCACTCCCAATTTCTGTCATATCTATTCCCTGGATGAATGAAACGATTGAAGTCTGTGACTTCAGAATGCAGTACAATGTGAGTAACATAAATGAAAGCAGCACCCTTGGGCTGAATCGAGAATTAAAACTAGTAGGTTCTAGTTCAGAGAAACCTAGTGTCGTGCCATTCAATATGTCTGTATTTACGAATGCGATGTCATCTGGTTTCCCTGAGAATGAGGTATGTTACGTTAACTTACAGTTGTGATTCTTTCACTATGCTTTGATGTCGAAAATACTTTTCTAACCGGTAGTGAACTGTTTCATAACAGCACACACATACACACAAGCATTCACTTCCATTGAACATACTCAACAAGAGAAAAATTATCACAAGTTCAGCGGGTCGGTTTAGAGTAAGTGGCCGCGCATTACACAAACTGTATGCATTCTTCTCCAAATAGAATGCCGTCGTGCATCATGGATGGGAGAGAGATCAAAGGAACCAGATTGCTCGGATGTTAGGCATACTTCAATTCACATCCGAACTACACACGCTTACAAGCAGTAGACAGGCTGATTCACACAACGAAATGGCATTCAACCTGAATACCCGACTGTAGTCTCCATTCACCTTGTATACTGTATCTTTCAAACAGTATCTCATACTCTGTTGATCAACATTCAAGCTCATTCACACGAGTAGCTTGTTGAACAAAATTTTTCATGCTTTACATAATTACATTATATTTCCATGTTCCGAGTTATTTCCTCAAGTGTATTTGGCAGAAACATCATTTCCAACAGTATGCTGTTGGTCTTCAGTGCTGAACGGCATACTGAACGAAATCGACGAGTAGAACAGTGCACACAAGTGGGAATTGCATCCTGGGGCCAACTCACTGGAACAGTGTAGGTAATTCAGGATTGCTGGTCAACGGGCTTGCATATCAGAATGACCCAACGAGCTATGCTGGTGGAACGCTTGTTCCCTCGAGGTCCTACCATACCAGAAAGGTCTGTTGGGTAGTGGTTAGACGAAAAGCAGTTACCGTTATAGTGTAAATTGCTACACTATGATGGGGGTCTGAGGGCGAAGTCGTACTGCTGCTAGCTGGATGGGGTGTGACAGCAGTAAGGTGTTTCCCTTGGATGACCAGCAGTGCCAAGCTGATGCTGCCTTCTCAGTGGAAGGGGGGGTTAGAAAAGGTCGGCCCCAAAAATAACACACTCCACCACGCCCCACGGTCTGCCGGGCCGGCGGTGTTGGTTCACTTGTCGTTTCCTTTCGACCATCCGGCCCCAAAAATACAAAAATTCAAAATAATCATACTCAAAAGGCTGGGTGTGACAGGCCTCAAGCAGATGTCCGATGGGCTCTGCGGTCACACAAATCTCTTTCAGGTACCTTAAGAAGAAATAGCCTTCCACGGTGTGGGCAGCCGGGAAGTGTCAACCGCCCTCACAACTCTGTCAGCACCCAAGTTTCTTCTGACTGCTATCCTCCTCCTTCATTACCTTCTAATCTTCCTTCACGTCTCTTAATTAATGATGCTGCATCATCTTCAATTTCTCCTACCTCTGCAGCCTTCGACAACGATCTGAGTCCACAGAACAGCATCCCTGGTCTCCTTAAACCACGCTCCAAATTACATATTGGAGCCTTCAATGTCCGCACCCTCCGTCAAATTGGCCAACAGGCTTCGTTGGCAAAGACTCTAGCAACTCGGGCATGGATGTGTGCTGTGTTTGTGAGACACGCATACAGGACCCAAGTGTGGTTATTCACCTGACCTCTCCTGACCAATCTGGTGAATCTGCAAAATTCACCCTTCGAGTTTCTGGAGATTCGATAGCTAGCTCTCGTGGTCTTGCAGGTGTAGGTATAGCATTAAGCACCAGGGCAGAAAACTCACTACTAGACTGGATCCCAGTTGATAGTCGCCTCTGCGCTATGAGGCTGAACGGCACAGTGAGAACTAAAAGGAATAGTGAGACTCGCCGTTGTCTCTTTGTAATCTCTGCTTACGCACCCACTGACTGTAGTTCGGATGAAGTGAAGGACGAGTTCTACCATAAACTGTCTAACCTCCTCTCGAAAGCCAAACGTTCGGACGTAGTGGTTGTTGCAGGTGACCTCAACGCACAGGTGGGTAGACTGAGTGAGGCA